GGAGTCCACGAAAGCTTATGCTCTAATAAATTTGTTAGTCTCTAAGGTGCCACAAGTCCTCCTGTTCTTCTTTTAACTGACCCTTGTTGATAATGGCATTGAGTTCTTGTATTTTACTATAGTTAGAGTAGTTGTAATTCGCTAGTAGCACAGAATATTTGGCAACTCTAAGCAGAAGGGTAGCTGACGAGTAAACTTTCCGCTCAAAGAGGTCCAGTCTCTTGTGTTCTTTATCTTGCAGCGTGAAGCATAAATGAGGCTGTTTAATGCGCTGAGAACAGGCTTGAGGGTGTGAAAACAAAAATTTCATGCCTTTGGCTGGAATGAAGTATTTTCTGTCAGCGCTTTTGTTGGTGGGTGGTGCCGATGCCGGTGTTTGCCATATTACTTCCGCAAGCTCCATTATAGCCTCATCCATGGGGAGGGCAATCTTGGTCAATGATGCTGGTTGTAAGATTTTTAACAACTTATGTTGTTTCTCCTGCACTTCATGTAAGGCAATTTCTTGGCTGCTTGCTACTCTTTTGAAGAGTTTTTGGAACTGTGTCAGGTCATCTGGTGTTGTAGGGGTAGACAGTGTCACCGCTTCATCTGATGCAGAAGATGAGTGTGGGGGATGTGGTGAGTCATCCAGGTCTGCCTGAGGGATGAATATCTCTTCCTCTTCTATCTCTGTCTCATGGGGGTCAGAGGTTTCTCGGTGTGGTAATGATGGATGTACTCTGGAACCTCTTGTGGCTGGGGAAGGGGGACCAGAACAGGGGTTCTGGTATGTGGGCCAAGGACCCCATTATGGCCATTGAATGGGGTAAAGTGGTAATGGGTAAGGTCAGTGCTGTGCATACCAGGGCTGTAAATGCTCGACGGGATGAGGCTTAGGCTTCACAGCATTCCATGTAGGTCTCATCTGTGATGGGGATGAATGTTGAGAGGAGAAGCCATTGTCGTGCACCTCTCCTTCCTCGCCACTATGCATGCAGAGTGGTGCAGGAGATGAAGGATGGTACCGTGCTATGTAGCTCGGGGAGTGTTCGGTGCCGAGCAGTGGTGACTGCAGTGCTGAAGAAACTGCTATGTCAGCAGGACATAGAAGTTGCGCTGGTCCGGCCTTGGGATTGCGATCGACCGTTGGAGCGCTGACCTGTGCTGGATTCAGCTTGTTAGGCAGCAGCAAGTCTTGGGTCAGTGCCGATGGCAGCAGCATTGATCGCGATGCCACTCCCTGTGCCGGGACAGTGCCGGAGGAGCCCAGTGCCTCGTAAGTGCTCACTCTGGATGAGTGTAGCACTAAGAGTAAAGACCTCGCTGGGGAAGCTCTCTTTTTCTGAGAGACCCTTGCTGGAGAGATTGAGGCTCGCTTCCTGACAGTTGTGGAAGTTGGAGCCTTATCAGAGCTCAGGGATCTCGGTTTATGAGACTCCCCGGAGGATGTCTCTTGCGGAGGTTGGAGGCATTTCTTCAGCAGAAGCATTTTCAAGCAGAAATCCCTGTCACGTCTTGCCCTTGTTGTTAAGTTGGTGCAATGTGCGCATTTCTGAAATATGAGTTTCTCCCAGACAGCGAATGCAGGATGTGTGGCCGTCAGAGACCAGCATTGGTTCACAGCAGGAGTCACACTTTTTAAATCCTGATGAGACCGGCATGACTGCAGTTAAGCCTCTCCCCCCGCTCGAGAGATAAGGGTAGAGGTTAACTGTAATGGTAAACTGTAGAAACTGTTCCCAAATGGGGAGTTGAGGAGAGAATAAGTCTTCTTCTTTCTTCTCTTTTCCGAGTTTTTTTTTTATTTTTTTTTTGTAAGAAAAACCTCTAAGATGAACTAACGAAACTATGTAACTAAGTATAGACTAAAAAGAAGTTCCTATTTAAGTTGTAACTGATACTTTCTGGAAAAAAAAACAAAAAAACAAAGAGCACTGCCGCGGAGCTCTGTCTGCAGCCGAGGACGGTTGAGAAGGAACTGAGGGGACGGTCGGGGGAGTGCACGCTACAGTAGGTGCCAACAGCTGCATGAGATGACTCCTGTGCATGCCCTTCCCCCGACCGAGTACTGCTGCGAGAAATCTCCAATCTCCAGTGCAGGGACACACCAACACCTAGAGTGGAGCACCCATGGGACACCACTCGAAGAAGAACCTCCAGCTCCAATAGCACTAACCCACGATCCCAGAGCTAAAGTGGTAATTCCCTTAACTCTCAGCACAGTAGGGTCTATGACACACAATTGTGCAGTTCCGATTTGAGCCACCCACATGCACCCTAGCAAGTTCATTACTTTATCAAAGAAGGCACCATTTCATGCTGTTTCCCTGAACTCTGCTATCTATAGGGCAGAGGTCCCCAAACTGTGGGGTGCGCCCCCCTATGGGGGCACAGAGGAACCTTCGGAGGGACATGACAGCACCACCTAGCCCCTCCCCACCCTAAGCTCTGCTCTGATCCCACCGGTAGCCACATCGTTGACTTCCAGCCCCATGTCTGGCATCGTCCACAGCTTCAGCACGGCTCCACTCCCAGCCCCAGACCCTTGCGGCTCCATTCTCGGCCCAGGGCCAAGGCTGGGGGCAGGGGCAGGGCTGGGAGCAGAGCAGCACCTGGCCAAGGGCTAGGCTATTGGCCCCCACTGCAGCCCAGTTGCTGCACTACTCCCATCCCCAGCCTTGGCCCCCTCCCATGGTTCTGGCCCTACTCCTGGCCCCAGACCCAACCCAGCTGCGGCCCCAGCCTCAGCCCCCTTAACTCTGTCCATGTCCTTTCCCACCCCACCCCCGAGTAGCGGCCCCGCTCCCAGCCCCGGCTCAGAGGGAGCGGTGTGGACAGGGGTAATGAGGGGGGGGCGAACCTCAAAAGTTTGGGGACAACTGCAATAGGGAGTTGCTTTCCAATTATTCCTGCTCTAAGGGGTGAGCTAAGCATAGTTGTTACTCCACAGCATTTTATGTGATGAATCATAACCCAATCTGGCCTGGTGCGAACCCTATGTAACGTCCTCCACCAGAACAGCCCCCGTGTCAGGACTGAAGAAGCTCCCTCTCTTTCTCAGTTAACTATTTCTCAGTCCAGAAAGGCAACACAACTCAAATGCCCTCCAGGAGCATAGCCTTTTAAGTGACCAGCTGCAGCCACGGCCACAAAGCAAAGTAAAAAGATCTACACTCACCTGTCTATGGCGCAGAGTGAAGTTCACAGGTTTGGAGATATTCATGGGCCTCCCATCTCCAATAGCCCCACTCACCACCCTGGAATTCAGGTGAAAACTCCTCAATTTCTCAGCAGCCATTAGATCTCCCTCGTTGAGAAATCTCTTGTCAATGATGGAGTCCAGTGTGGAGTAAGAAATAAAAGCAACAGCCCAAGAATCTGAAAACATGAAATGATGCCTCATGATAGAGCCAGGGACACTGAGACAAAGAAAGAGCAAGCCAGGTGCCAAAGGTCACAGTGAGTGTGGGGCAGAGCTGGGAAAAGAACTCAGGAGTCCTGGCTAGCAGTTTGAGCTTTAACCACTAGAATATATTGCCTCCTCCCTCTTCTTCCACAGAAACACTTCTGTGTTGGAAACATCGGCGTGCACTATGGGAGTGTGATTCTTAAAGTGCACTAACGCACATTAGAGCACACTAGGGAACCTTTAGTGCACACGAGTAGGGTCTACACGGACCAATTCATGCACAGTACAGTAGTGCTCTTTAGAAATTATATAAGCAACAGAGGGTCCTGTGGCACCTTTGAGACTAACAGAAGTACTGGGAGCATAAGCTTTCGTGGGTAAGAACCTCACTTCTTCAGATGCAAGTAATGGAAATCTCCAGAGGCAGGTATATATCAGTGTGGAGTTGATGTAAGGGTATGTATATAAGGGTATGTTGATTTGTTCAGCGCAC